GTTTGGTGTTGGGCTGAGTTCTTTATCTCTTCATTTGATGTTCTAGGGTTTCAGGATTGTTGATTCTCTGTTTGGCTTATTTTTTCGGATCTTTGTTGTGGAGGGACGGCGTGGTGCTTCTCCCTAGACCGCCATCTTGCCGCTGTGCCTCCAAAATATAATTTTTGAGCAATGTCTAACACTCATCAAATTAGTGTTCAATAGAAAAACTTCAGGAAATGCTGATATGTTCAACTTCTTGTTATAAATTACTTTGTATGTATAAAATTTGGGTACAAAGTGTTTAATCCATTCTAATTTTAATTTTAAAAGTCACCTTAAAATTGTAAAAAAAAAAAACCTCATAAAATATTCTCAAGTTCATCAGGAGTGATATTCTATCATTTTGTCCCAGGATATGAATATTAAAAATCAACTCTTCAGATGAATTATCAATCCTTCTCTTACTGTTTCCTTTTTTTACATGATTCCATGGCAAGTTTAAATAAATCTGTACAAGCATTGCATTGCTTATTCCTCTGAGTAGATAAAATATTTCTACCCCTAGAATCAAGGAGCCCTGCAATGGTTAAAGCACTGGGCTGCTAATTGAAAGGTGGGCTGTGGGACACTACCCAGCAGCTCTCTGGGAGAAGACACCTGGCCATCTGTTCCCATAAAGATTACAGCCTAGGAAACTCTATGGGGCAGTTTTACTGTCACAAAGGGTAACTATGTGTTGGAATCAACTTGACGGCACCCAACAATAACAACCCCAAGAATCATAATGAAAAACACTAGATTGAAAATACCTAAAGTGTACTAGAAAATCCATGGATACATTTCTAACCAGGCCCACTCACTGAGGCATATTCCATCTCACACATTCCTGCAACTTAACAAAGACTATACCTAGTGCCGTCTGAAGCCCTCACCACAAAGAACTTGAAGGAAGAGATAATTTATTTTCTTTTTATTCCCAGCGCCTAGCCCAAAATGTGGCACATAATAGTCACTCAATAAATAGTTCTCAAAAGAAGGATGTCCAAATTCACTTTCCCTTTATATGGAAGAAATCAGAATTTGTGGCTGGCATTGTGCCTCTGCCCTGGTTTGTGAAGCATGAAGATTCAAACAAGGGCACTTACTTTGCTTTACAGGGAATGAGTGTGTCATCCACTTTGCGACAGTACCCGTACTTTGACCCACCTTCATTCCTGCTGTAACATGACTTATCTGCAACCTCAGTTCCTGAGCCAGTCAGTAGGGGCATTTGGAAAAAAAAAAAGATAAGAAATTCAACGCTGCAAAGGACTAATAAAATATAAAATTAGTGTGAAAAGCCCTACTTTAATATAAATCATTGACCATTAACAGAAATACAGGCTGCAAATTATTTGATCAAAGAGATACTTGGGGTTAAAAATAATCTTTTAAATATTCTGCTATTGGTTGCTGGCTATACAAATATTTGGATGATTTACTGAAGGCTAAAAATTCATCTAAAAATTAAGACTTAGCCAAGAGAGCTTCGGTCATGCTAACAGCCCACATGCAAATATTCAAATGTTATCTTGCTGCTGTGTGCTATTGTGACAACTACCAACTATGATTAATCAAGCTCCTACTATGTGCCAGGTATACATAAGCATCACATATGTGTTTTATTTAATTTTACAAGTACTGGTAATCCTTCTCAGAGCCCCATCAGATGGGCAATACATTATAGTGAAGAGCTCAGGCTTTAAGTAAGACTGAGAAGCTGTGTGACCTTGGACAAGTGATTCAACCTCTTTGTGGCTGGGTTTGTCGTCTGTAAAATGAAAATATATAATGGCACCTACCTCATACAGTTGATGTGAGGATTAAATGCCTTAATATATGTGAACCACAGAGAACAGTACCTGGTCAGCAGTAAGTGGTCAATAAACCCTAGCCGTTCTTATCATTCCCATTAGACACAGAGAAATGAAAAATCATACTTCATAGTTCTGAGTCTAAGACCTATGCCCCTTCTTCTGTGCTAGGCTGCCCACTAAAGATGAGTAGAAAACTCCTTCTAAAAATTGAAATTCAGTCTTAAAAAACAAACAAGCAAAAAAAAACAGCCTAGGTAAAAAAATAAGCAAAACCCTATGAAGATATTGCATTAGTTAAAAAAAAATTAAACTATTATCATTCACTTAAACTAATTAATATTATCAATAGTTATATAATTAATTACTATATAATTAATTCAATTAAACTATTATAGTTAATTCATTTAAACCATTTTAAATGAATTTCATATTTGAATGCTCAAGATGATATGAGTTTTATTAACATCTTTTTGATTACTTTGTGTATTAATAACGTTTACTGATTTCTTATTACAGTAATAAAATATCAACACTGAATAAAAGCATATGTCTAAGCCCAAAATTCACTGACTACTTCTAATATTGAAGAAAGTATCATTGATGCATCTGATATTGTGGTGCTAACTTTTTCCCAGTTTACAATGTCTTTTCCGTTCCCCAAGCATTACATATTCTACGTCACGCTGCAAGAATTCCACTGGATGGATACACTAAATTTCTTTGACTAATCCTTACTCTTGGACTTTGAGATGGTCTTCAATATTCTCTAATCATGTATGTTCTGCTGTGTATATTTTTACTAACAACAACAAAAATAATAAATTATTAAAAAATGTTATCCAATTAAGCAAAAAAGTTACTCTTGTCATTGATGAACCAGTGAAGCTCTGACATGTATCTTTGTTTTTTTCCTTTCATCTTACTTGTTAGCATAAATGAAAACATCAACTATCATTCATGTTGGAACAACACTCATTCATTAGTTGCAACCGTTAGTTGTTTATACGTACAAGAGTTCAGCAATAACCAACGAAGGCATTCTTTTTTCTTTTTTCCCCATACAAAAATTTATACATACATTGTTATGTGACTCTAATTGCTCTCCCCATACTGTGACAGCGCACTCCACCTTTCCACCTCTGATTCCCCATGTCCATTCAACCAGCTCCTAACCGTCTCTGCCTTCCCATCTCACCTCCAGACAGAAGCTACCCATTTAGTCTCTTGTATCTACCTGAGCTAAGAGGCACACTCTTCACGAGTATCACTTTATGTCCCAAAGTACAGTCCAAACCCTGTCTAAAGAGCTGGCCTTGGAAATTGTTTCAGTACTGGGCTGATAGAGAATCCAGGGGCCATGCTTTCTGGGGTACCTCCAGTCTCAGTGAGACCATTAAGTCTGGTCTTCTTACCAGAATTTGAGTTCTGCATCCCACCTTTCTCCTGCTCCATCCAGGACTCTCTGTTGTGTTCCCTGTCAGGGCGATCTTCGATGGTATCCAGGCACCATCTAGTTCTTCTGCTCTCAGGCTGATGAAATCCCTGGTTTATGTGGCCCTTTCTGTCTCTTAGGCTATTAGTTTCCTTGTGTCTTTGGTGTTCTTCACTCTCCTTTACTCCTGGTGGTTGGGACCAATTGATCCATCTTAGATGGCTGCTTGCAAGCTTTTAAGACCCCAGACGCCACTCACCAAAGTAGGATGCAGAACATTCTCTTAATAAGCTTTGTTATGACAATTGACCTACATGTCCCCTGAAAGCATGGTCCCCAGGCCCCTAATCCTGCTACTCTGTCCATTAAAGTGTTTGATTGTATTCAGGAAACTTCTTAGCTTTGGTTTAGTCCAGTTGTGGTGACTTCTCCTGTAGTAAGTGCTGTCCTTCCCTTCACCTAAGACAGTTCTTATCTACTATCTATTATCCCTCCCCATCCTCATAACCATCAAAGAATGTTTTCTTCTGTGTTTAAACCCTTTCTTGAGTTCTTATAATAGTGGTCTTATACAATATTTGTCCTTCTGTGACTGACTAAATTCACTCAACATAATGACCTCCAGATTCCTCCATGTTATAAGATGTTTCACGGCTTCATCCTTGTTCTTTATCATTGCATAGCATTCCATTGTGTGGATATACTGTAATTTGTTTATCCATTCATCCATCGATGGGCACCTAGGTTGTTTCCATCTTTTTGCTATTGTGAACAGTGTTGCAATGAACATGGGTGTGCATATATCTATTTGTGTGATGGCTCTTATTTCTCTAGGATATATTCCAAGGCGTGGGATAGCTGCATTGTATGGTACTTCTATTTCTAGCTTTTTAAGGAAGCGTCAAATCAATTTCCAAAGTGGTTGTACCATTTTACATTCCCACCAACAGTGTATAAGTGTTCCAGTCTCTCCACAACCTCTCAAGAATTTATTGTTTTATGTTTTTTGAATTAATGCTAGCCTTGTTGGGGTGAGATGATATCTCATTGTAGTTTTGATCTGCATTTCCCTAATGGCTAATGATCATGAGCATCTCTTCATGTGTCTGTTAGCCACCTGAATATCTTCTTTGGTGAAGTGCCTGTTTATATCCTTTGCCCATTTTTTAATTGGGTTATTTGTCTTTTTGTTGTTGAGGTTTTGCAGTATCTTGTAGATTTTAGAGATTAGACTCTGATCAGATTTGTCATAGCCAAAAATTTTTT